TCGACCAGATTCCAAATAATAATTGTCCACTGCATTCTGATTGGCTAGGTGATACACAGTGACGGACCCATGACAAAAGTTCAGCACGGGCGGAAAAAAAAAGAGGATGCTAAACGAAAAAAACGAGGATACCCAAGCTTAAAGTGAGGATCTTAAGCTCTAGTTGCAAGGGAAAAAATGCTAGACATATCATAGGCACATGGCTTAAAGTTCACTCAGGCATCAATACCCAATCACGGTAGGGAAACACTAAACGAATACGCATATCACCAATGTGTGTAGAACTAATAAAGGATATCTTAAAAACTAATATCATGTCCTGGGCATTAGCCAAGTTTTCTCTCCTGGTGATAAACTAAATGATAATTAGAAAGAATTATGTTGCTTTTCCAAGGCCTTGCGTGCGTTGCCACAGTGTAAGTGTCAAGCCACAGAGTCATCTTATGCCAACTAAATACACTAAAAAACTACAGAAAATGCAAAATATGATCAAATAACTACCTAATGTTAAATCAAAATCAAAAGGCACATTTTCAATTTGTCCACAACTAGCACATGATGGATTCCAACAGAAAATTAACCCAAATCAACACCAAATTCCCAAAAAAAATGCTTAATTCACGTATGAAAATCATATCATTACTGAAAGTGAGTTAAGAACGGACAACTGACTTCCATTGTAGTGGTCATATCATCCGACTGAAGCTGCGTGCGAAGTTGAAGTCTGAAGCGGTTGAACTGAAGGAAGGGTTAAGGGTTTGGAGTCCACCGGGTAATGGCCTAATGGGTAGTATTATATAATTTATATTGGGCTATTTGAAAAAGAGCCCAACTCTCTTATCCCAAAATAAAAGGGCCAAGACTAAAAAAAAAATGGCCCAAACTGAAAATTGTAATCGTCTTCTTCCTCCTCCCTTCTGCTCCTTCTTCTTCACGTCCTTCTCTGAATCTCTGCAATAGGCAATAGTGACCCGTCGGTATTGAAGACTCCGGCGGATCCAACACGGGCGGTCGCCCCCCGTCGTCCGGTGCTGGGTCCGTCCCTGGTGATACACCAAGTGAGCTCACAACTTCAATATTAAGTTTTTAAAGAAATGAAAGAAAGAGAATGCGTATTGATAAATGCTTTTTATTTTAAAGTAACTCATATGCATATCATAAGCATGCATCATATGCATGAGATTTGTTTATTGAGCGTTAGCTCATCCAACGTTATCCCTCTCCATTTTCTAATAATGAAGGCAAGATGATGCGAGGTGACGAGTTGTGGGACACGGACTTGTGCTATCATATTTAGATGTTAAATTTGTTTTTGTAATTAAAGTTAAGAGCTTGTTTGGGAGGAATTAAAATTCAATTAAAATTGAAAATATAGCCGTTATTGGGTTTCACCCGTCTAATAAAAGTCAACAATAACGGCTAGTTTTTCAATTTTAATCCGATTTTAATATCTACCAAATACACTTTAAAATTCGATTTAATTGTACTATGTTTTGTTGACCACAAATTATTTTAAAATATTAAGTCATTGATGTCTATTATATTGAAGAAAAAATTAATCATTTCCACATTTATGATTTTAAATAGAGAATGAAGCATTAATACTTCCAGATCTAGGTATTTAGATTTAGAGGTGTTACATATGATCTTCTTAGATATCTTTGAGCTATTTGACTCATTCAAGACCTATACACCAACCCATCAACCTTTTTACTTTAATTATAACTCAATTACTTTGATTTTNGTCAAACGAGAGCTTAATTATTATCATTTGAAAATTTCAAAAACCCAAAAAATTAACAACATTATAAACTAAGGGTATGTTTGAGCCACATTATTTTGAAAGAATGTATTTTGGAAAAATAGATTGATTGGGTATGTGCTGTTGAAAAAGAAGGAAAGTTATTGATGTGATGACAAATATTATTTTATTGAAAAATGTATAGTTAAAAATGAGTAGAAGAATGAGAATGAAAAAAAATAATGTGGTCCAAACATGGGCTAAATATAAATATAAATAATTGTCCATTTGAATTTTTTTTTGTTAATATAATGGAAATGATTACCACAAAGCTCTGGTCTCTCTAGGATTTTCTTATTTTAATTGCTTTAGAACCTAACGATATACTTTTTAAAAGATTTGAAATTGCATTAAGAACCAGAGAGAATATAAAATATCAAAAAATATATATAAATGAAAAAATTGTTGGTGGGACATGGACATTTTTTACTCGATAATACTATCAAAATACTTCCATTCGTAATTTTTGACTAGCAACTTTTTTCAAACTCAAATATTCAAAGAAAAAGGTCATAATTCTAAAAAACAATTGTTTTCTAGATCAAAACAATGAGTTAGTTACGAACGCCGTGAATTGGAGCATCGTAAGTGTCCATTGGATCATGTAGTTAAAGGTGGTAACCGCCTAAGTGGTATGACTCTTTATTGTTAATAAAGAAATGGAAATGAATATATACAAACAAAAAAAATCTTACACAAGCTAACAAAAGACATACTTAAATTCAGGGCCTGTTTGGTATAGATTTTCATTTTCTACAGTAAATCAATTCTCATTTTCAACCACACATTCTTCAATAAAATAATATTTTCCATCACATCAATATTTTTTTCTTCTTTTTCAACCACACATTTCCCATCATATCACTATTCAAAAATCAATTCTTCCCCCAAAAATC